CTTTTTTATGTTCTTATCTATATTCTTTACTTCTCCCCATCAATCCTTCCATTTTGTGGCTTTTTCTCTGTTTCACTTTTTTTTTTTTTTTTGCATTTGGAAAAACAAAATAGAAAAGCTGCAAAGCTTACCATTTCCACCAAGGATAAGTGTAAGAACATCCCAGCGGTAACTGTTAAGATCCAATTTTGAACACATGGATCTGTTGATACTGAGAGCCCAATGTACAGTCCTATGAAGGCAGTTAGAGCACTTATAAAATTCATCAGGATGGCGATCTTAATAGGAAGTCCAGAGCTTAACAGCACAGCAAAGTCTCCTGAAATTTAAGGGAAAAGGAAAATATAATTCTCATTTAGCTAATCATGCCTTTGCTAGAGTCATTTGCTATTAGTTTCAAATTTCAGTAAAATTGAACGATCAGTTAATAAAACACTTTCCTATATTTCTCAAGGATTTATAGCCCATCTCATTATACTTTTGGAAGTGATATTTCAAGAGTTTTATTCCTTTTACTGCTCCTGAAGGTAGTATATACAGAGAGAACTGTGACACACTTTTCCTTCCTAATGTCCTGTGACATCTTTAACTTAGACAAATGCAAAATAAAGCCCTTGCTGCCCTGGGGTTTCTAAATCTTTTTACCTGCAAACTTGCCAGGCAAAATCCCAAGGTAGTAAACATTATATGGGCTTTTCTTTTTTGCTTAGGTGGGAACGGCTATAGGGAAAGAGAAAACAACTTAATATGAGATTCTTAAATCACTGCAAAAGCTGGTGAGGAAAACAAATTCATCCTTTAGAAAATGTTTTGCTGCCTCGATGATTATAGGAAAATGACCTTATTCTCGCCACAGTTTTCCTCCCATAGAAGCATGATCTTTTAATCTGAGAGCCTTTCTAAGTTTTGGGATTTGAGAAGAGGCTGGAATTCAATCAAGGGACAGCCTGGGGACTCAGTTTCCTAGTTCCACTGCATAATTAATACTTTGAACAGGACTTAAGACATTTCTGCTGGCCTGCCATGGAGTGTCACCCACCCCAGCTGGTTTTTATTATAGTAGCTAAAAATAGGACCATATGATAGGACTCCCAGACCAGGAGGAAGTCATATTTAACAGATTCAGGAAGGACCCTGGAAAAACTCCTCAAAGAGGAATGGGTCAGTGATGATCAGTGACAGGACTCTGAACAATAGTCCCAGAACATGAGAGGTCAGGGGTGGTCCCAGCCACTAATGAAAGTGGGAGCAGAAAGATGGACCACCAAGAACCCTCTTTCTAGGGCATACATGTGCCTGGGACCAGCCTCTATTCTTTCTGGATCTGGTCCAGAAATGTCTACCCTGTATCATCTTGGTTCCTGGGAGGCAGGATCTGAATTACATGGGTTATTAAGATTATCTAGAAAAAGAGTCTTACACCCGTCTGCTACCACACGCCTGTCATTTCAATGTCATGCTTCGCTTTAGACATTCTGTATAAATCAGGTTGATGAAACGATGGTTTGGCTTTCGTTTAAATGTTATTTTACCTCATTGGCCTGTTTGCTGACATAATGGATAAAACTCCCTCTTGAATGTTTCCCCCACGTTTAATATGCAGATTTTAAAGTTTTTGCCGAAGTTCTTTAAAAGGAGGTTTCCCCGAATGACTCTCTCCCATATAGAATTCTCCAGAATTCAGAAAGAGTCACTTCTGGTTCCAGGAAATAACATTTAAAAAGTTTCATTGAATTTTATCTTGAGGTACAGGAATTCTTTTTTCTAGCTCTCAGATTTTTATGGTTTAAATCAATTATGAACGGAAAGTATTCATCTTTCAATTGTGTGGTAGAAAAAGGAGCCTAGTAAACCATAGCTAGAAATAGAGTATGATTTTTCTCAACAAGCAGGAAACAGTGATCCTACTGGCAGACTTACCCATTTCATGGGGAATTTCATGACACAAGATAGCAATTGTTATGGTCACTCCCAACTCCAATGAAGATGAGAAGGCCGCTCCTATTACTAGGCCATCTGCAAAATTATGCAGGCTGTCCCCAGCTAGGATCATTACTGCTAACAAGCTAATGGTTTTGCCTAAAGAACCAAATAAAAGTGTGAGAAGCATTAACAGAGTGCTACATACTTCATGGAATCCTTCAACACATCCGTCTTCGACATCCTAAAATTGTATCAGGTTAAGTAACCACTTTGTTTCAGCTTTCAAAACAAGTCAGGACTAAAGAGGCAAATATGGTAACCAATATGGAACACTTGGATGTTTGGTCGCTGTTTTTCTATGCGGCCTGACTGATCATGAGATAAGGGAGGGTATTTGCTATTCTATCACCTTGTTCAGTTGTGCAAAAAGAAGGAAATAAAAATAACACTGTTATGACCTTCCAAAATACTACCAATGACCTTTTCATATGCATCTTTCATAAAGAATTTTTAAATAATTTAAGAGCCTCCCTGCAGAATGTCATTAAAATGGAGTCTGCTTTCCAAAACTTTCCCCTCGGAGTCAGAATATCCCTCGTGTCAATCTGCTGGAGTCAACTGTCAACCTCCTGTCATTTTGTGATGGTTCCCCTTTCTAGTTGGTGCTAGCGACCTTCCCGCAGTGCCTCGTTCACTCCCCAAATGTGACCAGGATAGAATCATTACCAACCCTTCTGATTCCGAAGTTAGCTTTAGAACAATGACTGAATTATTTCTGAAAAATAATTTTCAGTACTAGACCGACTAGCAGTTGGATAAAATAAAGATAAGCTGTTTTCATGTGATTCTATTACATCATATACATTATCTGATTAGTAGAGAGCCAAAGAAATTTGGACCATAATGGGTTTCATTAGTAAAATAATTAGATCGTAATTGGGTTTAAGTTTTTAATGGACAGAATTTCTGTTTTCAATAACCTAAAGTTGTATATTAGTATGACCCAATTATGGAGCAGAACCACTAACAAATACAAAAAGTATTTCAAGGTTAACACTCATTCTGACTGAACTACCAAGGTATACTATTTGATAAGAATTGCCATTAAAATCAATTGCCGTAGCCTAAAAACTTCATTAATCACTCAGTTGATGTATACTGATGTGTATGCTGTGTGTGACAGGTATGAGGGGTCACTGTTGTTACTGTTAGAATGGCACACAATATTCTAATAACTCTACACTCAATAAAAATAAGAAAAGGTTACCTTCTGGTTTCTGTTCCATGGTCTGATTGCAGAGGGACTGCATTATAATCGGGTTCTTATTTTATTAGGGGAATATGATTTGACTTATTGCATATCCCACAGTGAAATAAGTAACTTCAGTAAACAGCAGATATAACCCAGACTACCAGCCAGGAAATAACTCTACTGATGGTGTTGCAAAGATACTCCAGGCATTTTACTTCTAAAAATCTTGCTTTCTTTACAACCATCACTGTGAGACCTACTTCTATGCTTCTTGTGGTTTCCTGGTTCATTTTGTCCTTTATTAAAACTGAGATGTTAGGCAACAATCATAAAAACGCAGAACAAATATCAAATGATTGAATTCAGGGGGTGCTTACTGGCATTGCCTGGAAGCTCTCAGAGCCTAATAATGCAAACGGGTCACATGGCTCTTCCTGCCGACTTTCAGAAGTAAAATTCTTCTTTGTGAAAATAAAACAAAGTAAAATAATTTAAAGTAATTCATTTGACAGCATTTCAGCATACAAATAAATTGTGCTGTCCAGATGCTTATGTACAGCTTTGATATGAATAGCATATATTCAAATGGGAAAATCTTTACCCGATTTATACTCTGCCAAAAACCAGCATGGCCTACTTTGGTTGTCTGTTATTTTATTATCTCTGATTGTGGGTTTCTAAATGTCACGTCATGGACATGTACCAAGCCACAAGGCAAAAATACATATTTGCATATAAGCTACAGGGAACACATTGTGCACATTGTTTAAGATAATTTCAACATTTTTCAGTGGAAAATAAGACAAGCGTTCACTGGCAAATCAATGTATTCATTACTGAATTACTGACTATATTTTACCTTTCCTTTGGTACCTGGCAGTCATATTGAGTTCCACATTTCTGACCTATTAGATGTTTTCCATGGTGATATGTACACTGGACCTGTATCATGTTGCTTTTTGTTTATTTAAATGACTGTGGATAGAATTTTCACATCCTGTCTTTTGAAACACAAGCTGAGTTCCATCAATGAGGTAATATTAAACGAGTAATCAAGTATTTGAAGCTAATTCAATATGTCCCCAGCAAAAGGGCAGTTGAGTAATCAAATTTGGATGTGTTCACTGTTCATTCTCTACGGCGAGCTTGATACGTGAAGTGGAAAGATATGAGGTCCACAAAATATTTGAATCAGACCATCCTTACTCCCTGATGGAGCAGCTGCTCTCTGCTCCTAATTTGACTAGGCATAGCCTTCTCTCCTCTTCCTTTCTTCCTAAAACAAAGAAGTGTCTATTATATACCTTTTAGGTGCCAGACATTCTAAAATGTCTCCTGGAACTAAAGATTTATAAGGAAAGATATCACTGACAACACTCTGAGAGCAGAGTTGGATGGACTCTGTAATTACATATTTTGAATCAAAGAAATAAATTACAGGAGCTAATACATCGAACACATTCAGAATCGTGATTGTTACAATTGTGTTTGTTCTTACTAGCATTCACATCCTCAACCACATTGCAAACTAGGCATAATGATCATTCCTATTTTTATCCCCCAGTGCATACACAGTGCCTGAAACATCTTCAGACATTTCTTGAATGAATGAAACAATGTGAAAAAACACATGGATGCATGCATGAATGAATGGATGATCACAAGGAAACGGCTGGCACAGTTGCATTCCTCAGATCCTCAATGCTAGAACTTCCTAGCTGTGTAATCCAGAGCAGTGACCTACCCTCCCTAAGGATCAGTCTCTTCATTTGTATAATTTAGTTATTAATTATTCTTACTTCATTAAGTTGCAAGAGGATTAAATGAGATAATCCATTTCATGTGTTTAGCATTGTACCTGGTATATAATAAGTACTCAATAAATAGCTATTTTTCTTTTGAGGTAACTAACTTATTATGGTAGAATGGGGATAACTAATCATGACTGCTTAACATCAAAACATTGACAGGGTGTTCACAAAAGGTTAATACTGGTGAGAAAAATGGAGCAAAGATTCAGGAGCAACTGATAAAAATCAAAACAGACCTTTAAAAAAAAATTCTAAGAGTTATTCAGAAACATAAGTAAAAGGGAATAAAGTTCTATCCACAACTGGTAGATTAAATTCAAAAATAGTGGAAATGGTAGAAAGAAAATGGTTGGATGCAAATTATACAAACAAATGAGTTACAGAATAAGATGTAAGTAATGAGAAATCACTCTTTTGAACTCTACCATCTTAATGACAGTATCTCAAATGAGACAGACATTTGTGATGAATTATCAGTAGATGTGATACAAAACAAAAAACCCAATTATGTCTCCAGACTTCGTAGGAAGGGAAAGGCTCAAATAAGCAGGATTTTAAAGGAGCCTTGATAACCACATAGGTATGCATGCTAATTGAAGTTTCCAGAGGATCAGTTCTAAGCAACTGAGGAAAACATTTTTAAAGAATAAAGTTGATATTAATGTGTAATATGTTTAAAAGACTCATAGGATTGGGTCTTTATTAAAATTTTTTTGAAGGACTGTGCTGTATACAGAAAATGACACAACACTGTAAACTGACTATACCTCAATTTAAAAAAAATTATTGCCAAGGTTTTAATAATGAAATACATACTCAAAATGAAATTTAGATGATTTTGACGTATTTACATTAAAGCAGGTATAACTTTTTACATGGCACTTTCTATAGTTAATATTTTGCTTTCTTTAATTGGTACATTTTCTGTTGGGGGCAGTCATACTGCCTATAGGAATTTCAGCTGCCTGTGAATCTTCTGGGCCTTTCTATTTTAAACTGAAAAAGAAAGGATGAAAGATAAGCAATAGTCCTCATTTTATGAAATGAAACATGTGAAGCGTTCTGTTGATTATCAAAAGACATTTGAACTCCTTGGAGTATGTTAGAGCTTCTAAGTTTCAAAGACAAACAGAGAAGGTAGAGCTGACAGTCTGCAAGCATGTTTTCTCCACTGTCTACTCTTAGATGAAACCAGCACTGTTACGTAGCTCAGAGTTGTCCATAGAGAGCTAGGGGCAACTGAGATAGTCCGTAATTCAGACTCTTACAGCATGTAAGCCTTTATGAAACACAAAAGCTGTAGGGAAAACATTTTTGATTCTTGACCTAAGTTGGCACTTCTCCTATATGGCAGATTGTGCATCTAGGGTTCACCTTCTAATCTTTAAGTAGATCATGGAGGAGAAACCTATGTAAACCCAGCATCTCATTTCATTCATCACAGCAGAATAGGCTGGTTTTGTTGCCTTTCCAGTCAGTCAAAGTCTCTTGCTGATTGAGAAAGTAGATAAACTGACAAAAGATGAACACAATACATTTAAAAGATTTTTCATCCTTTCTTATGACAGAGAAGTGAAGTTTTGAAATTGACTTCTATGAGTTAAGATGATACAATTTTTAAGGTTTATTTATTCATTAAAAAGTTTTTTTAATGGAGGTACTAGCGATTGAAGTCAGGACCTTGTACATGCTAAGCACGCGCTCTACCACAGAGTTATGCTCTCCCCCTCCAAGATGATATGATTTTATTTCAGAGACTGACTCATGGTTCAGTTTCAGGAAAGTCACTTTCCTTCCCTAGGCCTCAGATTCTGATGCTATTATGTGAAAAGAAGACTTTGTATTCATGTACGGAACATAATCTAGAACAAGCACATTCGTATCACCCAAAATTGTGGAAACATTGAGACAAATTTAGTGTGAGACATAAGCATCTTTTTATTTTTCAAATGTAAAACAGAAAAAGTAAACTTGACATTCACATGTTAGAATAAAGCAGCTACTCAAAAGATGTAATAATAGGCTATTTTTGGAGCAGGATGGCTGAGAAGGTAGGAGCTGAAAGATGCAATGTTAGAGGAGGCAGTCAGCCCTCTTGCCTGAGATCTGTGGATCTAGAAACAAAAAAAAATGTAGTTTTTAAAAATTACATTATATCAAAAGGCTGATTATAATCAAAAGGCTCTATAGATCTACTTCAAAAAGACAGGAGCTCAAATATTTATTCTAGGATTTTTTTTTTCCCCAAAAAGCTATTTATTGTCACACTAGGTAAAGGAATTTAGAGGCAAGCATCCGAGACTCCTTTGATGATTGGGAAGATTTGTGAGTTCCCTCCTTCCTTAAAAAACAAAACAGGAAATTGAACCCGTCAAACAATTCTAAAAGTTCGTATTATTTGTTTCTCTTTGGGTGGATCTGGCAGCTCAAATAACAAAAGAAACGGTGAATACATTATTAGCGAGTTTGAGGAGTCAAGTTGTTCTAAATTTGTTAGCATCAGAGTTTTGTTTATTTGCATCTTGGGGTTCTGGACCCTTCATTCCCACAGAAGGAATGAAGTCAGCATTAAAGTGAATTAAAAATTAATTTCAGCTTGAAGTTATGTTCTTTCAAACCACACATGATGTATCTCAACAATAACAGGGCTTTTGTTCAAATCATTATCTTTAAAGAAAAAATTTTTGTCCCTGTCTCTGAGTCAGCTCTAGATCTGCAGCCTACTGCCAGACTTCTGTTTGGGCAGGTTCATGTCTCAAGAACAGTTTACTAATCCCTACTCGGGAATCTGTTCTTGAACTGTAACCCCCTACCCCAAGGCCATGGGTACAGGAGGCAAGTTTTTTAACTATGATATAGTACTTTCATCATTTTCCTGTCCCCTTACTTGTTACTTTAAGAATTAGAACAGGAATATTCTTTAGAATCTGATTGGCAGTTGTGGTTTGAGAATTCATATAGAAGATTTTGTCATGGAAAATTCAATATAATAGGAGGCACTTACAATGAGACATCTCATTGGGCAGAATAAGTTCTCTCCCATGTTATGAAATGAGCACCCGACTCCTGGATGCACCAATTCCTTGCTCAGCATTTATTTGGCCTCACCTGGTCATGACTGAGGATTATTTAGAATGGAAGAGCTCAAGGTTGGCTGGTTTATGAAAGCATGTAAACACAGTGATTAAGGATATGTGTATTATGTCTATCTGATCTATACACGTTTCAAAGTGGTGCAGAGAACAGCAACTTGAATCCGTGGAAAATGCATTTCACTGTTTAAAACAGCTTGCAGGTGCTTGGCAAAGTTTTCCAAACAGGATTTATCACGGTCAAGAATAGGCAAATCAGGAGTGGATTCTATTCACCTAGCCTACTGATTTTCATCTATTTATCAAGGAATAAAGGAAAGAAGGTAATCAAATCAATAGAACACTTGAGATCGATAACCTACCAACTGGATAGTGGAAGCAGATTTGCCTCTGCCTGACTGGTCACTTAATTCAGGCTTGGATGCAAGGTGGTGGGAATGTTCCACATGCCCAATAACCAATGACACACCCTGCTGAATGAGGATGGTTTAAAATTAGTTGCTGAAGCCAGAAGAACACAGGTGCAGCCTTTGTCAATTCCATGGTTCTAGTTAACATTTTGCTTATTGGCCAAAGTGATGGGTGACACAAAATGAGGACTGGGAAGAATTTCATCAGGATAAACACTTGCTAAAATGGAGAAGCACAGGACTGCCCAAAAATATCACGCATATTCTGAATACTTTAAGAACACAACTTCAGAAATTCTAGTCATGATTCACAAAGGCTCAAACAGTGTAGTCAGTCTTTTTTTACTCTACTCTCTTTTTTACTTACTGTAAAATTAAATTGTGAATTCTTTCTGATGGAGATACCAAAAGGATGATAACTGAAACTGTATTTTACCCCATAATTACTAAATTAATATCTCCAGAAAGATAACCACCCACTAAAGTACTTGTAACTTCTAAAATATTCCCATTGCTTTTATTTTACCCAGTATCATACATCTTAAAATTAGGTTCTTAAAACTCATTTTAGGCTTTCTGACAAGTCCAAGGACAATCTGAAAAAAATTCTAACATGGAGATGCTCAGAATTTTTTTCACTCATTTCCATCTGGTTACATTTCTAATTATTATGCATAGATTGATATGTTGGCTGTGGAATTTAGTTTTCCCAGTCTGGGTATACTAGTCTATTGTGTATATGGAGAATCTTATTTTTTTATGCTTATTTAGATTAGAACTCCTTTTGTGGAGGTTAAGTTCCTAAACTTTTAGACTACGTACTGGGATTGAAGCTGGCATTCCAAATTTCTGAATGACTGCAGAATCCTAGCATGGGTCCCAGGCCAAATAACAGCTCTGATTCATTAAAACAGAAAAATGTTACAGGATTTTGTTTAAAATCTATTTTTAATGAAAAGTTTCAACTATACAGAAGAGCTGAAAGAATTGTGATGTCAACACCCAGGTATCCTCCCCCCATTTCCTACCATGGACATTTTGTATTTTATCACCCATCAATCCATCTAACATCCCTCCATCTATCCAGAAAACCACCTCATTTTTGACACGTAAAATAGAATTTTTGAAAAACCTAGGGCAGATAGTAAACAACAAATGCAGATATTTTAAAAGACTACTGATGTGTGTGCCCTGTGCCCAAGTGTTTTATAGTATGTGAACAAGTAGAAAGTCAGGGAATACGTGGAAAACCATGAGGACTGCTGAGCCCCAGGATTTGTAAGAGAAGTTTATTTTAGTCTCCTAGAGTTTTTCACAAGTGTTTACCTTTTTCACTCTCCCAACGAGTTAATCTATTTTCTGATAGGATGATGCATAAGAGCAACAAGAAACAAAAAATCTATGAATAAGCCACATTGCATTTTACGTTTCATTTTATATGCAGAAATTGATCAAATACAGGCACAATGAAAGCAATTATTTAAACTGATAAAAAGATGGGCCATAATTCCCATTCCTGAGCCTCTTGTGTTCATAATTTTAAATGTCCTGAAGGTAGAAAATGATGCATAATTTTGTGGATTTTTTCCCAACATTTTTGCTTGCTTGTTTCTGGTGTTTCGGGTTAGGAAAGACATCCAAAACACAGATTGGTAGCTAGCTCTTGAAACCCCTTCATTCCCAGACATGAAATGGTCTCCTGTGTCTAAACTAGCCAGGGAGGTTGTAACAAGTGTATGAATGGGCCAGCAACAGATGTTTAAAAAATTAACACTCAGGCTTATAGCTGTCAGAATCATCTGTGTGTTCTAGAAATCAGAGCCCCATCCCTTATAGACAACCTCACAATGTCAATTCCTTTTGAACAAGTAGTTCTGAAATAAAAGATCAACATCATGATGCCCTCAAGCAAAAGATAAGTAAGATTTTAAATATACCTCAGCACTTGGTGGTACCAGAAGGATAAAACATTTTTCTATCAAGAAAAGTCCATAGATGCCTCCAATTAATCCCAAGATTTTCCAAATATGGTCCTTGCTTTCATAGAACTGTCCCAGCTCTGAAGCTTTCTGCTTACGTAAACCAAGAATCTAAAAAGAAAAGAGAGAGACAGAAAGACATAACTTTCGATGACCTAAATATTAATTAGTAGGTCCACCGTGGAATACATTCAACTTCCATTCTAGGAAACCCCATGATGACACCTGAAATCATTCAAAGCCCATCCATGAGTACAGCTACTATGTGATGTAACTGGGGTCAAATAAGATGTGAGAAAAGAGAGGAGAGCTTTGAATAGCTTCTACTAACAAGGAGAATATGGCCTAAGGTTTTTTCAGCAAGTAGCCTAAATTTTCATACATTATTTGCCCTTTAGCTGAATTTTTTTCTCAGAAGTTCAATCCGTGTCTGTTTGCACAGCAATGCTTTGTAACAAACCAGTGCCTTTTACATTCAGAACAAATATAAAGATACATTTCATCTGGGGTTTATTCTCTCTCCCCAGCACCCCTGGCAGTTAAATACAAGGTTTAGTAAATGTTCAGGAAGGGAGGGTGTAACTCAGTGGTAGAGTGTGTGTTTAGCATGCACAAGGTCCTGGGCTCAATTCCCAGCACCTCCATCAAAAAATAAATAAATAAATAAACCTAATTACCTGCCCCCAGAACAAAACAAATAAATAAAAACAAAAATATATTTTAAAAAAGGAAAATACTCCAATTAAATACATAAATACATTAATAGATTAATAAATAAACGTTCAGATCAGTAAGAAATCTGCCAGAAAGACTTTTCCATCCTGTATGCCTAGCCATAGTGTCAGCTCTCTGGGACACAAAAGGATACTAGAAAAGCTTTAGGAATTTTCCTCTAGTTGACTCATCCCCTTGGTTGACTCATTCCATTGGTTGACCTCATGATTTCTTGTGAGCTAGGAAATCACTATGTATCACATTGCCTCCCCAGGAGAAGACACTTTGGGGAATAGCACAGTGTTTTTCACATTTAGGATGTTCCTGAGGACTACATTTTAAAAAGGAAAAAGAACTCCTATGGGTATATGCTCATACGAATATGTATGTAGATTCACAAGTATGTATACATATACGTACATACGTGTACATGTGTGAGTATCCATATAGATCTACATACACACATTGAGTTTATGGACATAACTGAAAACAAGTCCATGTTAGTCAACGTTTTCTTTTGGTAAAGAAATGGAAGGACACCCATCTAGTATTTGTAATTACCATCATTTCACAAAACAGAGGGCACTGGAATGTCACAAAACAGAAGAAAACCCCACAGAATAAAATCTCGATCTTAAAACTGAGTAAATTTAGCCAGTTAAAAGAGGAAATCATGACAGCAGTATTTTCTCATTTCTGGGTAGTCCTTTAAACTTGCCTTGGACCAGATTCAGGAACCACTGATTTTTCTAGCTGTCCACCACACTTGTATTGCATTTTTCTTCCTCTTCCCAAAAACTTTTGTCCTCGTCTCTTTTCTCAAAGTGACTGCCTTCTAAATGAAACCCAGCTCAGTTCCCTTCTGTAATATGTCTCTATAGGGCCAGCTGACAGTCCCACCCACCCACGTCTTCCCCTGCTGCCTTGAGCTGTGTGCTCCCCCTGCTGGGGGGAGACCCAGGCAGCTTTAAGATCCATCCAGTTGCTGTATCCCAGGTTCCTGGGCAGTGATCAGCTCTGTACCCACTGCAGTGACCTAGAAACAGGCTTAGGCCACTGCCTCCAGCCAATAAGCCCTGAAATATTTCCAGAAAATTAGATTACAAGGGAAATTAAGACTAATAGTGGTTTGTTTCATTTCTCCAATGCTCACTTTGCAATTTTCAGAAAATCTAATAACTGTGGAGCCTCTAAGCAACAAGAGTGACCCTGGAGGAAATTGCCAGGGGCTTGTGGAAAATTTTAACATCTCAGGCTTTGCAGGAGAGGGGAAATCATTTGCTCATCATTATCCATCATAAGCGATCTGAGAAGGAATGGGTAACCTCATCTGAAGACACTTCTCCCTGAACTCTTTTGCATCTCAGGTCCTAGTCCTTTTATTTCTGATCAATAGAGAGCCTCAGAAGACTCCAGCAGAGAGCCAGCTTCCTGGAGCTTGCATGTTTCTTAAAGGAAATCTAGGTGCTAATAGCTGGGCAAGAAACAGAAATTCATTTTGATGGTTCAGATGAAGAGAGGTTAATGCTGGTGCTATGACCAGAGGTGTGGGCAGGGTCAAGGGTATAAACGAGGAATAATGAGACACTCAGAAACGAGCAGTCCCAGGAAGTCATTACCTCTCTTAGGTCTGAAAGGGCAAAGGGCAAAGGTTGGAAACAATGTTACTGAAGCTCAGTGGGAAGTGGAGCTGGGGAGCAGTAATATTGCAGGTAATCAGCTGCTTCGAGAATAAGTACCAGAGGGAGGGCAGTGGGGAAGCAATACCCCTGCCACTCTCTCCTCCCACCCTGGCTTTTCTGTTGTGTCCCTAATAAGGGACCTCAAACAACAATCCAGCCTGCAAGGGAGCTGATGCAGGAGGAGATACAAACTTCTGGGGCAGGAAAGACAGCAGAGACGGGCAGAGGGTGGAATTTGTGAGGCTTGAGGCAACGGGAGAAAGACAAGTGCATCTTACAGTCTATTCATTTTTACTTGTAGATACTGACTGTACACTTCCTGGAGTTTTCTTAGTCGGAATCTATATTTGACCACCTACTTTTTTAATTTCAGAAGTAAGAGCAATATGGTGAATTTTATGGTTGATCATCTCTTTGCTCCTGCAAGGACTTTGGGGGAATAACACTGATTTCTGAGGAGAACACAGGCCACTGTCTCTAGGCATCCAAGTCACTGTGAAATGGTGCATACACACCTCCAGTGGCTAAAGGTAAAGAGAAATTAGAAACACGTCATCGAAGCGGACAAGAGCAGCTTATCTGAGGGATGAGGTGGAGCAGAGCATCCCCGGAAAGTGTCCCCACGGCCAGGCCCACAAACAGCTGTAAAATGAGCCCGTAGCTCTCCTCAGCTGTGGAAAAGGATCAGACTTGTCCCTAGCTTGGAGCCCAGCATCAGCAGCATCACGGCCATTGCGCTGAAGCCATATTCTAGGTCAGAAGGAGATTGCAAAGACGGCCAGAGCCCTCTGTGGGCGCCTCTGCTAGCGAACATGCCAAGAAGACTCCGTCTTGTAATACGATGGGGAGGCACGTGAAATTGTTTGTGACTGCTGTGTTATTAAAGGGTCACTGATTCTCTATGTTAGTTTCAGGTGCTCAGCAAAGTGATTCAGTTATACATATACATTCATACTTTTTTTTCAGATTACATGTTATTAATTAATGATTAATAAATCATGTATTAATAAAATATTATATGTCTTTTCCATTTTATGCTATTACAAGACGTTGAATATAGTTCCCTGTGCTAGACAGCAGGCCCCTGTTGTTTATCCATTCCATACATAGCAATGTGTGTCTGCTAAGAGGATCATACTGGGTGAAGTCAGTCAGACAAAGACAAATATCACATGATATCACTTACATGTGGAATCTAAAAAAAGACACAAATTTTATTTATAAACCAAAAACAAACTCACAGACAAAGGAAACAAGCTATGGTTACCAAAGGGGAAAGGGTGGGGAGGGATAAATTAGGGGTTGGGGATTAGCAGACACAGAATTTTTTTTTTAATTGGAGTATAGTCGATTTACAAGGTTGTGTCAATTTCTGGCATTCAGCATAATGATTCATTTATACATATATATGAATTCCTTTTCATATTCATTTCCATTATAGGCTATTACAAAGTATTGAATATAGTTCCTTGTGCTGTACAGTAGGACTTTGTTGTCTATTTTATATATAGTACTGTATATCTATTAATCCCAAACTCCTATGTTAAACTTCCCAGCCCTTTTCCCTTTGGTAATCATAGTCTGTTTTCTCTAGTTTGTAAGTCTATTTTGGTTTATAAATAAAATTTGTATCATTATTTTAGATGCCACATGTAAGTGGTATCATATGATATTTGTCTTTCTCTGCCTGACTTACTTCACTTATGATAATCTCTAGGTCCATCCATGCTGCTGCATGTGAGTGCTACATTGGATAGAAGGTTTTAAGGTTTTAATTTTTAACCATGTTTAAAAAAATAACAAAAATAGTTTGGAATAATCCTACACCTGCCTTGAAGTTTTATCGTGCTCTAATTTAGTAAAAATACCTATGTTATAAAAACACCCCTGGAGATATTTAACCAAGTTTCATATCCCACTCTTCCACAAATAGACTCTGAGTAGGAATATCATTCTTCTCAACTAACACATAAATTAAAGACATTTGAGTTTTAAACATGAGCACCTGAGTGTCTAATAATTCGAAGTCACTACATTCTTATGGTGGCTACAAAAGATCATAAAGTGTCAAGAACTCACAAGGACAAATTAGCGGCTGACATTTTCCAAACAAAAGGCAAAGTTTCAAGTTCTTCGTTTCTTTCACTTTCCTCTTTGTCCTGGGGTTTTGAAAGAGAGAATGGACGGTTCATTCCTCTAGAGCTTATAAATCTTTCTAGGTTTTGATGTGTGAGTCAGAGTTTACCTGCTCTCGTGTGTCAAGAACGGTCTGAAAACCATAAACTCTCTGACTTTTGTGGCCCTCAGTCTCTGCTCACTTGCCCCAGGTCCCTACACAGTGTCATGCCATCTTGACTGGAGTCAGGTTCCATATAAATGTTTCCCAACATGACAACAGAACTTGACCTGTAATTAAGATCTTAGGCAGTTCTGAGCAGCTTCTTGGCATAGGTCTGAAACCATCACATTCTTTCCTGGAGATTCAGCTGAAGGTCGCACTTAGGGGTTGAGTTTCAGCAGAGTGAACAGTGTTTTTTTAATGATGTCTTCTTGTGGCTTTCTCTTTTAATTATGACATCTTACATTCCTACAATTTCAAAAGGCCAATGCAAGCCCTTCTCTTTAGTTATAGAATGCAGCATGTTTTATTGAGGACAGTGATGTTTTTCTAGGTTCTTTAGTTGAATATGGCTTGTTTGGATTTTTCTCAAGAAGATTATTTCCTAGAAGGGCCTAGAAGTTAATTACAGGGGGAATAAGGGGAGAGGGTCTAGCTCAGTGGTAGAGCACGTGCTTAGCATGCACGAGTTCCTGGGTACAATCCTGAGTGCCTCCATTAAATAAATAAATAAACCTAATTACCTCCCAAAAAGTTAGCAGAAAATTGGGGGGAGGGTATAGTTCAGTGGTGGAGTGCATGCTTAGCATACACGAGGTCCTGGGTTCAATCCCCAGTACCCCCATTAAAAATAAATAAATAAATAAACCTAATTACCTCCCCACTCCAAACAAAAAAACAAAAAAACAAAAAACAGGATAAAAGGGGAATAAAACTTTTTTCAAGGATCTTCAGTCCAAAACCCTGTTTTGGAATGGCCTCTCTTACTAGACACCATGCCAGATAGTGGGAACATAAAAACAGAATCTCCCAGGTGCCACGGTTCTGTCCCACTCATCCATTTTTGAGTCACTCTCCCTGACCACAAGCTGTTGAATTATTTAGCTGCTCACTCTTAATGAAGCTTTTTCCCTCTCATAGACCTGGCATATTTTAGTTCACAGCCTTCTAATGAGACACCTGATGCTGCAGAATCCATTATAAGTTAGAAATAAGTAGCTGAACAATTCTACTGTGATGGGCATCACAGACTACATCAAGGAGAAAGAAAAGTAGTTCTGAAAAAAAAAGTAAGGCCCTCAAATCAATGGTAATATTTTATTATTTTTTTTAGAGGTAGAATTTTTTTTTTAACCTAAGTATAGTCAGTTACAATGTGTCAGTTTCTGGTTTACAGCATAATGTTCCAGTCTGTGTGTGTGAGTGTGGGCGCACACGCGTACACAAATATATTCATTTTCATAGTCTTTTTCATTAAAGGTTATTACAAGATATTGAATATAGTTCCATGTGCTATACAGAAGAAATTTGTTTTTAATCTATTTTTATATATAGTGGTTATCATTTACAAATCTCAAACTCCCAAATTTATCCCTTCCCAACCCCTTTCCCTCGGTAACTGTAAGATTGCTTAGTATGTCTTCAAGTGTGTTTCTGTTCTGTAGATGAGTTCATCAGTGTAGGTAAAACTGCTGGCTCAAAAACTAGGAGCACTTTTGGGCTTTCAGGATAGACTGTTGAATTACTTTCCAAAAAAGTTATACAAAGTCAAGTCCCATCAGCATAAGCAACAGCCTATTTCTCATCTCTCTCCTGGTTTTCAATTTTGTGTGTTTTTATTACTTTTAATCTTTAGTAGTTCAGTGTAAGAAAGATAGCTTCTCTATGATGTTTTACATTTTTTTCATTTATTTGATTCTTGGTGTGGATATTTTTCACATTTCTTGAAAATTTTTATTTCTCCCTTTTTAAACTCCTTGTATAATAGTTTAAATATGGTTAATTAACAAGTTCATACTGTATAGCACAGGGAACTATATTCAATGTCTTGTTAGTAACTTAGGGTGAAAAAGAATATGAAAACAAATATATGTATGTTCCTATAGACTGAAGCATTATGCTGTACACCAGAAATTGACACAACATTATAAACTGACTATACTTCAATAAAAATATATTAAAAACATTAAAAGGATAAAAAATAAAAGAATATGTATGTCTTCCTTGGGGAATTGCTTGTTTAGGTTTTCTGCCCATTTTCGGATTGGGTTGTTTATTTTTTTCTTATACAGTCATATGAGCTGCTTATATATTCTGGAGATCAAGCCTTTGTCGGTTTCATTAGCAAAAATTTTTTCCCATTCCTTCGGTTATCTTTTTGTCTTACTTATGGTTTCCTTCACTGTGCAGAAGCTTGTAAGTTTCATTAGGTCCCATTTGTTTATTCTTGCTTGTATTTCTTCTAGGAGAAAATTTTTGAGATGTATGTCAGATAATGTTTTGCCTATATTTTCCTCCAGGAGGTTTATTGTATCTTGTCTTATGTTTAAGTCTTTGATGCATTTTGAGTTGATTTTTGTGTATGGTGTAAGGGACTATTCAAGCTTCATTGTTTTACATGCTGCTGTCCAGTTTTCCCAGCACCATTTGCTGAAGAGACTGTTTATTCCATTGTATATTCTTGCCTACTTTGTTGAAGATTAGCTGACCAAAAGTTTGTGGGCTCATTTCTGGGCTCTCTATTCTGTTCCATTGGTCTGTATGTCTGTTTTTGTACCAATACCATGCTGTCTTGATGACTGTAGCTCTATAGTATGGTGCAGGCATTGTGGAAAACAGTATGGAGATTCCTCAAAAGACTAGGAATAGACTTACCATATGACCTAGGAATCCCGCTCCTGGGCTTATATCCAGAAGGAACTCTACTTCAGGATGATGCCTGCACCCCAATGTTCATAGCAGCACTATTTACAATAGCCAAGACATGGAAACAGCCTAAATGTCCATCAAAGGATGACTGGATAAAGAAGATGTGGTATATTTATACAATGGAGTACTACTCAGCCATAAAAACCGACAACATAATGCCATTTGCAGCAACATGGATGCTCCTGGAGAATGTCATTCTAAGTGAAGTAAGCCAGAAAGAGAAAGAAAAATACCATATGAGATCGCTCATATGTGGAATCTAAAACAAAAACAAAAACAACAACAAAAAAAACAAAGCATGAATACAAAAGAGAAATAGACTCATAAACATAGAAAACAAACTTGTGGTTGCCAAGGGGGCAGAGGGTGGGAAAGGATAGATGGGATTTCAAAATTGTAGAACAGATAAACAAGGTTATACTGCATAGCACAGGGAAATATATACAAGATCTTATGGTAGCTCACAGAGGAAAAACTATGACAATGAATATGTTCATGTATGACTGAAAAATTGTGCTCTACACTGGAATTTGACACAACATTGTAAAATGATTATAAATCAATAAAAAATGTTAAAAAAAGAAAAACAAGAATATGGTTAACTGTCATATTTTTACTATCCATCATAGATGTTCTTAGGCCACCATTTTGTTTTTGTCTTTTAAATAAAAGGTGCTTTACATTCACAGAACATGTTTCTGTACGTATCATCCCATTGGAACATCACTGGTACCCTGTGAAGTCTTACGGTACAGGTCACCTACTTCAATGATGTTACGGGTTACAAGTGAGTGTGAATATTGACCCCTTAATTTCTTGGGGCTTTTAGTCACATTTGGGAGGTTGGCACCTCCATGCACTGGTCACCTCCATCCTGGAGCAGCCTCTGTGGTTTACCCCAATGTGCCTGCATTTTTTTCCTATGTGCCTTGCCATGTGAAAGGATGGGAAGCCCTGTAGGATCGCTGCTTTCCCACAGTGCAGAGAAAGAAACAGGCTTGGGAACTAGAGAACGCTTAAGATCTCAGGGTTGGCTGAAGATGGAAGGCATGACTCGACTCATCATTTCTGATCCCCACAATGATGTTCTTTCTTTTATACCACGCCACTTCTCAACCATGGACTGCTAAGCTGATCCACGATTGAGTCAAATATAGGGGTCAATGTCAACTTCCATGACAGAGTCAAATATAGGATACAAAATCAATTTATATAAGTTATACACAAAATATAAAATATTAATTGAAAGGTAGCATAGCATAGGTGGTTAAAAATAAAGACCACGGGGCCAACTTGCCTGGGTTTGAATCCCGGCTCTATCACTAACCAGCTGTGTGTCTCTGGACCAGTCACTTAAACACTATAAGCCTCAGTTTCCACATCTCCAAAGTGGGGGTAATAATATCTAGTTGGTAGCATTGTTGTGAGGACTAAATACGTTGATAAAGGCAAAATGCTTAGAACAGTGCCAGGTATGTGGTAAGTGTCCTTCCTTTACCGTTATTACTATACACATCGTGTGCATTAGTTTTCTGAGAGAAGAATCAGAACTTACTCTCCACAGTGGTGGGTGACAGCTGTGCTTGTAGGCCTTGGGGCAGCTGGCAAGAACAGCTGAGCAACTGCTGGATGATTCCCGGACTCATTTGCTTAAAGTCCTCCTTAGAAATGGGGGAATGCCTGTTCTGTAGAAATATCTCCACCAACTGCCCAGCAGAGAAGCAAGTCTGTCCAAGGAAGAACATGCATGGTTACCAACCTCAGCAGTGAATCAAATTCCCCATCAGCTGCCATCCTGCAGGAGCCAGAACTAAATGGGATGGCTCATCAACACATGGAGCCATTACCATGCGTGTTTCCCTGCAACCTTTTGTCCATGAATAATTTCCAAGGATTGTTTTTAATATCTGATCAAAGTCAGCTGCACCTCGCTGTCGTTTTGAGTACTATGTAGTACAAGTTTTGCACACTTTTTTCTTTCCTGAAAAGATGCACTATGTTTTATGATGTGTTGGATGATGTTCTAACCAGCAGCCTAAGGAAGCCTTGATGCTCTTGGGGGTCTTTGTATTAACAAAGCTAAAATTTCATATGATAAACAGGAACTCTAAAGGTAAGGAGATCATTGTCTTTAATATCTCTGATTTAATAAGCCAGGGTAGGCAACATGCATTTTCAAAAACAATAAAAGTAAAGGTAATATTTTAAAAAGTGAATGCTGTGTCGTTAGCCAGTGTGTAAACATTAAATGATATGGCTCCCTCTGTCCCTTGACATCCCTTCTCCACAAAAGCAATTGGAATCATCATTAGCGCCTACTGATTTCACTAATTTTGATTCAGATCTTTGCAATTTTTTCATACTGAATAGGTGTATTTATGAGAGAGAATAAGTATAAACAAACAACATATGAAACAGGTCCCTAAAAGCTACCTCAAAGCCTTTGTCCATCTTAGACATGTTATGTGCTGACATTTTGTGTATCAAAAATTACACTGAATAGTTTTAATATGTGGATGAGAATGGTGTATAGTTTTACTAGCAGAATGGCTGTCTTCTACTGAAAGATGGCCCCAGTGCAAGATCATTGTGATCTTTAGTTACAACAAAGTATTTTTTTTAAAGTGATGTATGAGGATTGTCTGAGTTGCCATGCTATAGAATGTAGGAGCTTTTAACAAAGGCACATGACTAATCAGAAAATAATGATGACACATGTGCTGGTTTTTCCACCAAGAACTCCTTTGGGATGACTCCAAGAGTAAAAAGGTTTAATCTTGATCAGGAAATGTTTGGCTGCATAAAACACAACCCACTCAAACCAGCGGACACCAAGAGGAGAATGTATTAAGGTAGTAGGGGATGTCTGAGATTAAAAGGATTGCACATCTCAAGAGGAACACAAGCAGAAGCTGGAAAATTAGAATTAGATATTTTTCTTTATCTCTTCAGGGCTCAGTCTTGTCTCCTTTCTGTTTCCCACTGCAGGAATCTATTTCCTTTCAGTCTGGCTTTCTCTCTTTTAATAAACACATGGCCATATAGGCCCCAATTCTAAAGTGACCTTTCAGTCCAAGAACCTAAGATTGGATTGAGTCTGCAAGTCCTGATAAATATGCCTGGTTTGGCCCAGCCATGGATGGGTTTTCTTGGATGAGATGTTCATTGGACTCCATCAGTTTTGCCCCCAGGATAGGAGGGGGGATTATGCCCTTCATATATGGCTCCTGGACTCAGCCCTGTGAGTCAGGAAGGCATTTCTCAGGAAGGGATTGGGCAAGAACTCCAAAAGTTCTCCACTAAAAGAAACAATAACAGAAAGCTAAATCTGTGATTTTTTTTCCTTTTATCAAAAAATTTGCACCCAAGACAATATCCTCTTTTGCACCACTTATTATTCGTGGACTATAGTTACCTCATCATTAAAAATACAACAATAAGGGTAAACTAACAACAAAATTTTGATGAAGAATCCTTCATAATAAATATTCATGTTGAAAAATGCCTGGGAAATAAAAGAGTGGAGAAATAAACATGAATGTAATGCCATGCATCTCTTTCCTGTTCATTGTCAAGGATTTGAATAGTTTCTAGTCTGAGAATACCTTCTCGTGGAGTAAGGTTATTCTATCATAAGCGTCTATGTCCTTGATACTTACGTGCTGCTCCTGTGCTATTTAGGTTATTGTTGTATTAGATTTCTTCTGAAATCACTCACACAAATGTCCTGAAAAGTGATTAATCATGTTCTATAACACTTTGGTACACAAAATATTTTTAATAAAGGAAACAGTATGTAAATTTAGAATCTCCAGCCAATAATCTTTAAAATTATCTTTATTCATCTCCATAAAACTTCAGTATACTTGCACACTTGTGTTGATGTCATCAGACTTCTGGGGAAACTTTCCACACATATTCTGAAGTGCCGCTTCCTGAACTTGAGTTTTGATAATCACTCAGAGGACTTGTTAAAAGTCAGAGTGCCTCACTCCACAATCAGAGTTTATGATTCAGTAGATTCTGGGAGGGGGCCTAAGAATTCTCATTTCCAACAAGATCCCGGGTGCTGCTGAGCTGCTGGTCCACAGACAACACTTTGAGAATCGCTGATCTAAATAATATACGCAGAATCTTCAGATTTAATATCCTACCATAAGGGTCCCCTCAAGATCCACAAAGAAAGTGACATGTTGAAACAGAGAAGGACTGAGAAAGAGGTTGCTCTGTTTCTTTTTCATAGTCAGCACAGGAAATGATTATTACTGTTCTTAGAAGATGTATGTCTTAAGTAGAAGATGTGTGCCTTAAATACCCCTACATTTTAAGAAATAACCTTATACTCTTTATGCAAATAGGGTCTCCATCAGACAAATGTCTTCCCTTCCTAAGAGCTGGCCCTGAAGGAACATTAAAGGAGACTTTACAAACAAGGATTCATATAGGCATCAACTCTTGTTACCTTCAGTTGAATACACTAAGTGTGAGTTTGAAAGAATCAATTTTAATTGATGCCTTTTATATACAGCATAATTAACAGAAGTTCACTCTTTTAAAATATATAGTAAGAAAAATATGTGATACTGTCCAATCATGTATTCAAAACTTGCAGGAACAACCTTCAATATTGTTAGGAATATGTAAGAAATTTTGCTCTTTTAAAATACAGATTATGCTTAATAAGACTATTAACTCATCTAAAATACAAATGACAAAAATAGTTTTATTTCTTTAAATCAACACTTCTCAAATAATAGCATAGTTGTTAAGAGCACAGAATATGCTATCAGATAACCTATGTATAGACCCTTAGTTTCTGTGACCTTAAGGAACCACTTGTTAGCTCCATGCCTCAATTTCCTCATCCACAGGATGCATATAACCTAATCTCATATAGTTGTTGGTAATAATTAAATGAAGAACTGCAGATGAAATTATGCAGTGTCCAACAGATAGGAAGGACTCAATCAATGTAAGCCATTATCATGGAATATCAATTTTTCAAGATCTTAAATAATTAGGGCAGGGAAGGTTTCTATAGTCAGTGTTTGAAAAATACTTGATTCAATAAGACTAAAAAATTGTATTTATGAAAGGACCTCCCCAGATACTTTAATATGCTACAGTGCAATATACATCTCCAGTTTTCCCAAACAGAATGGACCAGAGCAACCCTTTCCAAGAATTACGTAGGTAGGCCAGTGAATGTACTTTGGAACACAACTTCAGGAAATCAGGAGATAAATAGGCTCATGTATTACCTTTCCTCCAAAACCTTCTCAGTCGATACAAATATTCCTCTGTTGTTCACAACCCAAAGTAATCTCTTCATAATCCAACCTAACTTCAAAGTGTTCATGCATTGGAAGTTTTTATATTATGTCCATAGCCTCCTACTGCCCTGTTGGCTCCATTGCTCCTGTTTTTGTTCAATACTTTACCCTTTGTGCCCACAATGGTGATTCACATAGTAGATGCTCAAATATATTTGCTGAATTAATAATTCATGCCTTCAATATGGACCCAATTGACAAAAGAGCAATATATATATATCATTCTCCTAAATAGCTTGGCCTCAAGTTTATGTCTGCAAAGATTCACTTGTAAAAGAAAAAAACCAAAAAAACAAAAAACAAACCCTGACCCCACCGTGGAACTAGAATAGTTTTTACATTTAAGGAAATACACATTACCCCTTAAGGTTTTTACAACTCTTACAGAATTGTCACAGCTACTTCTCTTCTCAGTAGCAAATGATGGTACAAGAGGAATAATGCCAATACCTGATCCCAGGAAGCTGGAGCATCCTCTGACTCTTGGTCCATGGATACAGAGAGATGAGGGTAGTCCCAATCACGGATTGTTGGGTTGTTTTGTTCCCTTTGAAGTTGATGGATTTTATCTTTTCTGATACAGGTACTTTTAGTCCAGAGAATGTTGAGGAGTTGGTCTAGTTCTAGAAATTTCATACCAAATCTGGTGTCACACAGAATAAAGACAGGCCAGTTTCAGAATAGCCACTATTTCAGATGGCCACAGAATAGACATTTTACTAAGCAAAATTTTCCAAGTTCTAATGAAAAGTCAAGATTTTATTCTGAACAAGAATAAAGACCATTTATACTTCACATGAATATTGATTCCTTCACAAGATCTTGGCTAAGCTTGAGGGCTGAACCATGATGAAATGAGTAATTCCATAAAAGGAGTGCTTTCTGGTAAGTCAACTAATTCTTTGTCTAGGTGTATAAAAATGTAAACAAGAGATGAAACTGAATTAATTCTTAGAAAATTTATTTCCTTGGCACTATACATCCTTAGTAGGTTACCTATAACTTTAATGTAAAGCCAATCGAATTATTTTCCCCTTAAGTGTTTAACACAGAAAAGAGAAAGGAAATGAAAAGGAATGAGATTGTGGGGACAAACTAAACCTCGTTTTCTAATGCTATTGTGGCATGGTTGTCAATTTATAGATCGCAGTTTTGTTTCCCTTGGTACAGCTGTAGGTTTTTAAAAATTAATTGATACAGAGAATAACTGAACATAATGGTGAATTTCTTTGGATTTATTTATCTTCTTACTTGTGAAAAAAATATCCCTGGTATTTTCCTAAATGTTACCACCAGTAATAGAAAAATTACAAACTAGAGTTACTACAATACTTTATTTTAAATGACCAGTTTCAACAAAAAGTTATGAGACCTACAAAGAAATGGGAAAGTGTGCCCCAGAGTCAGGATGAAAAAAAGCAGTCAAGAAATATATCTCTGAGTATTCCCAGATGTTGGATTCAGCAGACAGAGACTTCAAAGTGGCCATTATGTTCAAGTATGTTCAAGGAACTAGAGAAAATTACATTTGAGAAACTAAAGGATGACAATAATAAATTAACAAATAGCAATTTTCAATCAGATAAAAGTTATACAAAAGTCTAAATGGAAATTGTAGAGTTAAAGAACAGAATAAGTGAAATGAAAAATTTACTAGAGTACAACAGCTTATTGAGATGGTAGAAGAAAGAATTATCGAACAGGAAGATAAATTAATAGACGTAATCCAATCTGAAGAACAGAGGGAGGAAAGAGAACAAGTCTCAGAGACCTGTGGAAAGCAGCAAGTATACTGACCTGTATTTAATGGTAGTCACTGAGAGAGGACAAAGAGAAAGAAGCAGAAAATAAAAAAAATGGAGAAAATAATGGCTAAAAGCTTCCCAAATTTGATGTAAAAACCTTAATCTACATGTTGAAGAAGTCCATCAGACATCAAGTAAGATAGATATAAAAGATCCACACCCAGACATAGTCAAACTGTTGATATATCTTGAAGGTAGTCACAGAAGAATAACTCATCACATATTAATACAATTAATATTGTGACCTCCCATCTAAACAATGGAGGCCAGAAAGTAATGGAATAAGAATCCTGAAAGAAAAAACAAAACAAAACCAAACCTGTCAATGAAGAATTTAATATCCAACAAAACACTGTTTCAAAAATGAAGGTGAAATAAAATTATCCTCAGATGAGCAATGAATGAGAAAATTTACCAGTAGTAGACCTACCTGCCTGACAAGAAACATCAAATGAAATGACCTGAATGGTAAGTTGACTACATAGGAAGAAATGAAGAGCACTAGGAATGTAAATAGGTGAGTTAATATAAAAAACGCAAATTTATTTCTTTATCATTTGTTCTCTAAACTCAGTGAAGAAACACTACAAGCTTTTCTTTCAAAGTCAAAAACATGTAAGGGTGCAGACCATCTTCAAAATATTTACCATTTTATTGGGGTTATTAACCAATGTAATTAGATGACAGAGAAAACAGGAACACATGAATTAAAAAAGAAGATGCAAAACTATACCTATTTGTTGATGGTATAATTATATATCTGAAAACCCTTATGGCAAGAAGGGTGGATGGTATGGCTCCATGGTAGAGTGCATGCTTAGCACGCATGAGGTCCTGGGTTCACTCCCCAGTACCTCCATTAAAAATAAATAAATAAATAAACCTAACTACCTCCCCCCTAAAATTAAAAACAAACAAATAAACAAAAATTATGGCAAGAATAAAATAATTATATTTTATTCAGTTTATGAAATTAATCTAAAAAAATCACTAAACTTTATATAGGCAAAGACCAGTTAGAAGCTATAATGAAACAGAGGACCTCAGTTAAGAGAGACAAAAAGAAAGTGAAATGCTTAGGCATAAATGTAGCCAAAATTGTCTAAAACTTATGTGAGGGACACTCTACAAAAACACACATGTTGACATGAACAAATGGAAAGATATATTAGGGCATATAAAAATTCAACATCTTATAAATGTCATTTCTCATAAGTTATTTAACAACTTTTTTTGTAATTATAATAAAATTATCATAGGGTTTTCCCCTCAGAGCTTAATAGTTACATGATATTTGTTAGGAAGAATGAACAAGCCAAGAAAACCCTGGAAAGAAGAACAGTGAAGAAGGCTAGCTCTATTCAGAAAGTAAAATATACCATAAAGCCCTTAAAGTAAAACAGCACAGTAATGGTACATGGATAGACAAGTGCCAAAAGAACACAATAGAAAACAGAAACAGACCTGATTACATTTATCCTTTTAGTATGCAAAAGCAGCATCTCAAATCAATGGAGGAAATAATTTCCATTGCATTTTACATCAAAGGTATAAAGAAAACTACATAGTCATATAGAAAAATTAACTGGATCTAATCCTCACAACATGCACCAGAATTAATCCTAAGGGGGTCAGAAATGCAAACATAGAAGTACTAGAAGAAAACTCAAGTTAACTTCCTCTATAACCTAGGAATATGGGAAATTTCTTAACTGTAACTCAAAATCCGAAAGCAGTTAGAGAAAAGTTTGATTAACTGATTTATACAAAAATCAAAAGTATTTGGAGAAATAACTTATCCCAGATGTAGGCAGAAAATGTACAAGATGAACCTGGAATATCTTAAACTGGAGATCAAGGGTTAGGATACAAAAAGTCTAAAGGTTTTGTGAAGAGGACTTAGAGCCACCTTAAGTAAGATTCCACTGGTCAAAGACAGAATGATCTGAACACCAGTAAGACAGTAAAGGCAATAGATTGAGAGATATGAAATCATAGTGATATAAAAAGACAAGCTCATCATTCTTCTTTGAAGGATGCAAGGAAAAGATGTTATTATTCTGAAAAGTAGTAAACTAAAGAATCATGAATGCATCCTCACGTTCCTTTAAGAACCTCGGTAAAATGAAATTGTGGTGAGGGGAAGGTTTTCCACCATAGAATTATTATACTGATAAATGAAAAACAGAGATTAGGAAGACGACCATTGGGTAAGTCCCAAACAATTCATCATCTAGGTGATGAACATCCATAGCTTGTAACTTCTTGGAAAGAGACAAGCAGATGTTACGTGCCATTGATGGGAGATACCAACTCTAAGATGGTACCCCCAGATAAATAAATAACCTAAAAGTATCCAAGCCTCTACATATAAAAATCAATATGCAACCTAAAACTAACATTGTAAATCAACTACACTTCAATAAAAAAATGAAATTAAAAAATCAACATATATGAAACATAGTGCATAGAAACACATGTTAAATGAATAGGAATGCAGTCAGCAAAAGCCAGATGGGATAAAACAATCCCTTTTTAATTCTGACAAAAAAATTTGCAACAAAATAAAGAAGATAAGGGTGGAGGGGAAGGGCGTTAACACCTATAAAAAAGACTTCAGAGACATACTGACAATTTTATGGACCTTATTGGATCCTGGTTCAATAAAAATGTTTTAAAACATTTTTAAATCAGAAAAATGTGAACATGAAAGGTGTGTTTTAAAATGATATTAAAGAATCATTAATTTTTTAGCTGCCATATTGGTAAGAGATGCTTTTTTAAAAAAATCCTTCTCTTTCAGAGATTCACACAGAAGTATATACAGATGTATTATTTGTTTCAAAATAAGTAATGAGAGAGAAGGGAGGCAAATGTAAAACAAGATTTATCCACTTGCTGATAATTGTTGAGGCAGGAGACTGTGTAGCTGTCTCACTATATTAGTGTTTCTCCTTTTGTTTACATTTGAGAATATCTATAATAAAAACATATTTTACAACACACTTAAAACTAGCATACTTTCCCCCCTCCTATCCAAAAACACAATCAGTGGCAATAAATTTTATCTGGAATGAGGATCTAATTGTACTGAGATGGAATGGTGCTCTGATATGGAATTCTGAGTTCTCAAATGCAAAGTGGCTGAATTTTGCCCAAACAGGCGATAATGAATACCTCTGATGAACAATTATGTGATTTTTTTTAAACCAGGGTCCACAATAATCAATAACAATCTGCCTGGATCTTACAGCACAGCTGGCCTCTAACTATGTTCTGTATTCCAGTCTGATGACTCGTCCTATTTCTAGAGTGACTGAGCCTTCCAGTGGCACACATTTTTACATTCTTGGAAAAGTGGAATCATTGCATTCCTGAAGTTGAACGAAAACTGGACTGCTCACACTCAATCACTTGAAATCTGAACTTCACAATTCCCGCTTCCCACGTCAAAATCATTCTCGGCATAGCATCCTTTTCCCTGGCCTATTTCCTAATTATGACACCTAGGTAACATGATTTAATTGTATTTCAACTTTTATCTTAATGAAAGTTTCTTTCTTTCATTTCTTAAAGAAAATACAAACGAATTGCAGGAAGACACATCTGTCATTCCACGTGTTGGACAAACCAATCAGAGAAAGTTCTGCATGGAACTGTGTGACGCCTAGCTCTTGATCCCTTTTAGAACAGGAAGATGTAACTAGATCATGAGTCTGCTGCTGGTCCTTTTGAAACTTTGTATCTCTCCTCTATGCTGTGACTTCCCGGGAGGAAGTGTTTTGGCAGTACCAGCTATTGTAACACACCCGGTCCCCTTGGTGTGCAAAGCAGGGTGTGCTGATACAGATTAAAAAAAATAAGTCATTTCACTCTTCAAGGCTTGTTGAGTACAAAGAAATGTGGAAAACGGACGTTCTGATTCCATTCCTGACATCTCATTTTATCTTAGATCCCTGAAAGGTGGCAGTCACGAATGTAGCCAGGATGCATACTTTACACAGTACTTTTATTTAAAATGAGATGACTTACTTTTATAATGACAGACAAACTGCTATCAAGCCACTTGCACCAATTGGAATACTCTATTTTTCCCTTCTACACAATACTTTGTCACCCCTGGCCCAGAACTTTGTCCCAAAGAGGAAAATGTTCATTTAGTCCTAGTGGTAGATTATAAAAATCTCTCCCTTTGACTCTCCATCTATAATTTCGTCATCCCTGCTAAACTGAATTGAATGCATATTTTTGCCTTATCACCACACAAATATCATAGCATGTTTGCCTTGAAAAGGCCCCTGGGCTGTCTTACTATATGCTGAGAAAAAAAAATGCTATTTAAAACATGTCTGAACAAATTCAGTCATTACCATACTTCAGCCCTTGTTTTTTTTGTGCAGTTTATATTTAGTAGGTGTGACTTGGAAGTTGAATTCACCAAAAGCATTCTTACCTGATAAGTGGAGAGTATTTGTGCTGTTCAAGGAACTGAAAATACATTAAAATAAATAAATAGCCTGGGGAAGGCAAACTTCTTTGCCCTAGACAAACACCTTGGAGAGACAAAGCCATGACTGTCGCTGCCAACTGAGGAAGTGTATTTTCATCAGCACCATCGCTGCTTAGGATTCCAGATTTCTTCTGCAGCATTTTGGTTTCCATACACTGAAATCACAGACAAAGTAAAAAGAAAATTTTAACCTCTGAAGTTATTCTGATTAAAACATCTCTAGGATTTCCCCCAAAGACAAGAAATAGTTCTTCATCTAAAAGAGGATTGACTTGTCTGTGGGAATACAACCACCATCATTCCCCAGTCTCAGATGGAACTCTATTTGGTAAAAATTCATTCATCTGACATGACACTGAATTTTCAAACTCCCCATTGGTCTTCAATTTCTAACTGTTCCCATTATCCCCTTAAAGATGTCTGTTCTTCAAGGAGACTCTTGCCCTTGTCATGAATACACATCCTCTGGATAAGAGGCAGAACTAGTGGAGAACCATGTGCAGATCACTATTCATTTACCATGGAGATAGCAAAAGAGTGGACAGAATGGAGGATGTGGGTGCATTAAGAGCTGGAGTCAAGAAGACAAAACAGAGCAGTTTGGACAAAAGAGAATAAAGAAAGAGAGGGATGCTTGCATTCTCGACTATTTGGGAGGGTGGCTAGATTAGGGAATGACGGTATAAAGTTGTTTCTCTTGGGGATCTGGTTAAAGCCCACTTGAAACTACTGGTAGTGGCTTGCCCAACGGAGGTTGAGTCCTATGCAAACCAAGACCTGGAAAGAGTCATGCGGGGCTGGTCTGCCAGCACCTTGTGTGACCTCACACTCTCTAGTCAAAGACAGCAGCAGCCTGCAGTGAGGTGTCAACCAGCCTCCTGCCAAAGTCTGGACTGACTGTCTTGGTAGAGAAATCCTAGCCCAAGTGAATGGGCCACAGGCCCCTTCCCGGGAACTAGAGATGGACAGTAGTGTCCTCCAGGAGATAGTTGTTCTAAGGCCTAGTTTAGGGTTATGACTTATCAGCAGCTCAGTTCAACTTGACTGAATTGATGAATAAAGGGTCTGCATACAATACTGAATTACTTTTTTCTGTTCCACGAATGTTTAATCTCACACACACACTGGGAAGCCTAGGTATGTGCAATATGTGTTAGATAACCAGAAATCTGTATTGAATATATACACTCCATCTGCTTTGGAGTACTGGCTTTCCATTTGCATTTAATCTGTATCAAAAGACAGTAACACAAAGGATGATTAAAGACCTAGTGGCTAATTTGAACCGATCTCATATCATACAGACGTTGCACTGAGGGAATTCTGTGTAGGCACACCTCCTTATTTACACAGAAAACTGAATTCTATAAAGGAACTCCATTTTCTCATTTGGAAATAGAAATGAAGAAATATGGCCAAATTTTGAGATTCATGAGATTAGAGTTACTGAGGTGACATCCACAACATCCTTAGTAGTCACTCCATTTGTTCTGCCAATAACAAGAGAAATTAAACCTATGTACAGCAAACTGGAGGATATGTTTTCTGGCGTTAAGCTGCAGCATGACTGCACAGACACCTCTGAACTCCTAGAAGCCAGAACTGAGGGCAAGAATCAAATTCATCAATATGTGTTGCTATAGAATGAATTTTTGTGCCCAATCCAAAATTCACATTTTGAAATTCTAACCCCCAAAGTGATGCTATTGGGAGATGGGGGACTTTGGGAGGTAATTAGGTCATGAGGGTGGAGCCCTCCTGAAAGGGATAATGCCCTTCAATAAAAGACCCTCAATAAGAGCTCTCTTGCCCCTTCTACCAAATGAGGACACAATGAAAAGGTGATCTTCCATGAACCCAAAATTCGCCTCTCACCAGATGCCTAATCTGCCCAGTGCCTTGATCTTGGACTTCCCAGCCTCCAGAACAGTCAGAAATAAATTTGTTGTTGATAAGCCACCCAGTTGATGGCTTTTATGTTACAGCAGCCCAAATAGACTAAGACACATGTCAATGAATACTTTGAGAGAGAGAGAGAGAGAGAAAACAAAAAACCACATTTTCTCACACTCTTCAAAATATGATGGTGGTGCCTCAATTAATTCTTTAAGAAAATAGGGCTCAAAAAAACTCTTTCTGTTCAGAGAATTTTATCAGCTCAAACTTCCCACCTCAAAGCAGAAAGCAAAAAGGTAATTGAAAGGCAGCTTTTGCTGGAATAGTAATGACGGTAGCAAGATGCCCGGTTCCTAATAGTGGGAGCTGTGAGAGAAGAAACGCACCTGGGACCCCTGAACATACATATGCAGCACCAATCAAAAGCCACAAAAGGGAAACCGTCTGTGCTGAATGTCATGAATAATGCTATTTGGAAGCTGCACCTTCAGGGAAGTAACTAATTATAAATTAATCTCTCTCAAACTCTTACTGCCTTCTCCCTCCCTGGCCAAAAGGCAAGGCGAATAGGCACACTGCTCTCACCACTCCAGTTCAGTCCTTGGAGACTGATGAAAAGCCATGAGTCACACTCACTTTAGTGCCCAGGGGACTCAGAACAGAGCTATCCAGTCACCTGGCCTGCCTGCCCATCCACCCCCGCCTCCCAGCTTCTGGCTAAAACTCATCTGACAACTGGTTAGGCATTACATTTCCCCCTTTAGACTCAGAATTTTAAATTACATCACCTAACATCCCATAACTAAAAATCACAAATAGTTACCTCTCTTAGAAGTTTCTGAGTATCTTAGTAAAAAACAAGGGACTAAAAACTCATGCTCTGAGACTGTATCTTAGCAGCAGAGCCAGTTAGCTATTTTGACTTTCTTACCTGGCTTCTGGAAGTGTCAAAGTACTGCCTGGTAAAAGCCAGGATGTCTTCCATCTCATTCTATGAAAGGAAATAGGAGTCTACATTCTACATCCTGTTGAATGATGTAATAGAGGAGAAGAGAAACTCTCTGGACCACTTCCTCTCTGAGCTGATCCTCAAAATCTCCCCCAGCTATTAGTAACAGGGCATCTGGTTTGAAGCACTGTGCAAAATAAAAATGAAAAAAATAATTTAAAAAGTAAAACACAGAAACAAAGCTTGACAAATAGCCTTAGAACACTGACGACCACAGTTTCCATTGTTCATTATTTTATGAATAGGAGGGGAAAGTGGGCAGCCTCAATAGCCTGATTCAAATAAGACAGCCATGGTTGGACTTTTATATAACAATGATGCCCTCACAGGAAGTCCTCATTCCCTAAAAGCAGTCCCTCGAGCTCCAACTGTAATACCACAAGCTGTCAATTTGCTGCCTTGATTGAAACCAGCTGGCTCTTTTGCTTTTAAAGTGATGCCTCATTGCATTCAGAATGAAATCCAAGCTCCTTACAATCTCCTCCTTGGTCTGGGTCCTGCCCACTCTCCCTCCTCTCACTTAATTTCTGCCCCGTGAGTTTCTGTCAGATCCACCAAGCTCTTCCCCACCACCTTTCAGGTCTTCTTCTTCCCATGATTTCTCAGGTCTCAGCTTCAAGTGCCACCTCCTCAGGGATGCCTTCCTGGACACCCTGTCCAAAACAGAAAGCACCCATCCCTGCCCATGTTCTCCAGAACAGCACCATTCAACAGAAATAGAATGCAAGCTACAGATGTGAGGCACACGTCATTTCAAATGTTCTAGGAGCCACACTTTAATACATAAAAAGAAACAGGTGAAATTAACGTTAATGACATTTTACTGAGACCTACGCAAGATACGATCATTTCAACATGTAATCAAAATTGTAAACAAAGTATTGTTAAGCTAGTTGACGTTCTTTTTGTCGTGCTAAGTCTTTGAAATCTGCTGTGTATTTTACACTTACCAGCCTATCTCAGTTTGGACGAGCCATGTGTTAAGTACCAACAGCCACACGCGAGAGCTAGTGGCAGCTCTAGCACACACCATTGTTTCCTCTCTTCATAGCATCGGTGTTCTAATATTACTTTGTCTGCTTGCTTATTTTCTATTTCCTCTTGAAGACAACTGGTCTAAGGCTTGATTTTTGTCTGCTATGTGCACAGACCTATCCTCAGCATCTAGCACCAGGCCTGGCACTTAAGAGGTGTGAAAATGGAATGAATGTGTACCATCTGCTTCTCCGTTATCCTACCTAAGAGAATGGATGTCAGTTCATTTCTGGGATGCAATCAATTGCCGCATCCTGCTGTTCGCAGAGAGTTTGGTGGTTCGAGAATGAACAAAAGATGCTTCTATGATGCTTTGTTTCACAACCCAGGGACAGATGCCTGGCTTGTCTAATCTGCGAAGTTTACACGGCAGAGGAAGGTTTGAGGGGCAATGTCGTGAGACGGTGAGAGAAAGATAGACATGGAGGTTGTGGAAGAGAAGCTCTCCCAGTAAGAAAAGAGTGTCTTTCTTCCAAGACCATTGGAGAGCTTCTGGAAATGAGTTTGGATCTGAGAAGCAGCCTATTACATGGAAACAGCCTATTACATGGCACCAGCTTCAGAGTGAAGGCATCAAGAGATGTCTATCTTGAGCCTCAGGGGGATTGGTCCCACTGTGGGACAATCTACTAGAATATATTTTAATCTATTCTCTGAGGCGGAAGTTTCAGGGATTCTAATTCCACATGTACTGTGAGTTCCGCGGCTCAACAACTGGAAAATACCTCTGAGCCAGGAAGAAACATGTCATCCATCTCTAAAGCAAAGCATTAATCACATTCTTCACAAGCCACAGAGATTCCAGTCTCTCCCCAAATCAACTGCGAGGGGACAAGAACTCAGCAAACAGAGGCACTGTCTTCCTAACAAGACCACCTCTGAATGTTGATATTGAACTTGACCACCAAAACCACAGAAGCCCTTTTCTGTTCCCGAATTAGCCCTAGAGAAAAGTCCATGGGTTGGTAGCTGTTGACAGGGCTGACACCAAGACCCAGGGAAGTGAATCAGCTAACTCATTCTTTGTACCAAATAACCTCCTGAAACTAAAGTATTAGTAAAACTATTGGTCATATTAGCTACCATTTATTGGAAGCCATGTGTCCAAAACAGTGCTAAGTACCTTCCGTATTCAGGCATGCCTTAGTGTAGAAATCTAATCAGATGATCTTTTTTTTTCAATGGGGGTGGGGGGTGGGGAACCTTATTGCATTATTTTAAATGGAAAAACAAAATGTGTCCAACCTAGGTAATAATCCACTAAATATTTCTGCACAATATGAAGCGTTCAGAATACCAATGACCCAACTATTGAATGCATAATGAATTAATAAATACATTTATAAGCAGTATGCAAAGATACAGTACAGAATCAAGTATGAACTGTCTTATCCTTGTATGAGGAAGGTATATCAATAGTATGCATGTAAACCAAGTTTAAGAGAAAATAAGGAAAGTATTTAAAGCCATACAACTGACAGTGGTTGCATGGTCTTAATTCCGCTCTAGCACTGATAAATTTTATATTCTTATCCTTTATTTTGTTCCATGGAGAAACTAAGCTGTGGACCATCTATGTGACTTGCTATGCAACTCCTCACCCAGTGATTTCCTCTCCCACCTGTCTGGTAGGAAGAAACTGGGTCAATTAGGGGGCTAGGGGATTGGTAAGGATCTAATATCAACCCATGAGCACATGGGACAACCAGAGAGTTGAATGAGCTCACCTTGATAGACTTTCAGGTGCTGTTCAGGTTTGTCTGATGGGGCCGGGTAGGTAGGAACAAATGTGTAAGACCTCCATGAGGCCACCAGACTATGATATATGTGCCCAGGATGTCATGTATGTGGCCACTCTTCAACCCATCCAAGCTCCCTATGGCTCCTCCCCTCTCTGCTTTGGCTGTGGGTCTTTTTAGTGGTGGGAGGTGGCATGGCATGAGGCAGCAGAGAATAGGGTTAGATCTGTGATCACCCAGAGGTTCACTCTAGAATTGGTGTGTATAAAGTACACAACCTGGAAGGTAAATCGGTTTCTGACTCTGAAAGTTTTAAATAAGTTGTAGAAACATCTCATTTTGGCTGACCAGAGATTTTGGCCATCTTAAATGAACAGAGATTGCTTACGCCTTGATTTAAGTTTTTGAGACTTGCTGAAATGAAACTGTGGATCAAAGGCCCATGGGCTGGAAACCTTGCACTCTAATCTTAGGCAAGTTACCTTAATACAGAAAGTGGTGGCTTGAGGAAAAGAATGCTGTACAGAGAGTCAGAAGGGCTAACATAAGAAAACATGGGGGGAGGGTATAGCTCAGTGGTAGAGTACGTCCCTACCATGCACAAGGTCCTGGGTTCAATCCCCAGTACCTACATTAAAAAAAATAAGCCTAATTATCTTCCCCCAAATAAATAAATATATTTTAAAAAGAAAATGTGAATTCTCTTCTGGGCACGGACATGACAAAAAGCACAGTGGGGGTTGGTGGGGGGACTGGAATTTTCGCTTCATCATCACTAGATTTGTTTTAATTGTTAAAAATTTTCAGAAGTGGCTCAGTTGTGGTTTGGGAGAGGATGTTTAGTAAAATTTCTGCAAATATTGGCAGCCCCTAGGCATCAAGATCTGTCCAAGGCTCTGAGTCTAGTGAAGTGATTCTTTGTTAAAGAAGAGTGGACTCATTCAGAAATAAATCCATTATTTCCCTTTAATCTTGTCAGGTGGAGGCATAAGTTTTAAGGGGGGGGGGAAGCACAGATTCTGGGAATTCGATTTTCAACTTCGTAAGGAAATGAACTTTGGGAAAAGACTCATCCAAATGTGAGAAGCCTTCCCTACTAAACTAAATGGGCGACTCAGATATGTGGTAGTAATTTTTCTATGACCCTGGAGCCAAATCAGACTGCCTTTACCCAGATGCTTAATTCAGCTTTGTTTGTTGCTTTGGCATTTCAGGTGACAGCCTCAGCAACAAAAAGTTATATGAAATCTTCCTTCTTCTGCATTTACAAGGCAGTTGTCAGAACTTGCAGGATAAACTTTAGGAAGTTTAGACCAAAAGATGTTTAGAATTTGCCTTCTTTTAAGCTCTTAGATTTTTATAAGGTCTTCTGGGAAGGTGTCGGGTGCTGTCAACAATTGACTGGAAAATACAAGAGGAAAATGATATTTCTTCCTTTTCCTCCTGAAGACCTGAAAGGATGTCTGCTGATGGCTTCTTGCAGGTCTGTTACTAGATTTAATGGCACTTCCGGTGACAGAAAGAGAAGTCTTAACTGAGAAGAGCTCAGATAAACTTGTTCGGTAAACAAGATAAAGCTTGATGCTCTTCACACTTTATCCCATGACTGTTATGACAAATTTGGGAGTAGGGGTGAATTAAATGCAGAACCTGAAAACATTGGTTCTCTATGAATGTGTCTGAGAATTGCCTGGAGAGCTTGCTTAAAAACCCCAAGCCCCTGAGACAGTCAAACCGGAACTGGGGGACAGGCGGGAGGGGAATGTCTTATTTTTTTAGCAGCACTGATGTTCCTTCACAAGCACTGCTCCAGTGTCCCAGAAAAGGGGAGACTGGACATTTGAATGAGCTCCACGGACTATAAGGGGGGGAAGGGAGCTTGAGCTCCTAGATTCGTTCATAGATGATCACGTGGCCTCACCTCATGGAGAGGCCCCCATTCCTGAGGACAGCATCAGCACCTCTGTCTTGCAGGTGAGGTCACTGAGGGTCAGCACATCCTAACAACTAGAAAGTGCCAGAGACTGATTGACTGCACACCAGGTTCTTTCCCCTTCACCCCGCCTGGAACCCATGCAGGGTCCTGGTTCTCATCACCACTGAAATGGAATTTATTCTTCTGGAGTTACTTAATCCTTCATTAAATTTATTAAAACCCTGTTCTAAGCCATCTCATAAAAAAAAAAAAAAAAAAAGGAAAAGCCATGATCAGGCAAGACTATCCCTTTTCAAAGGCTGCAGCTTGAATGCATTTATTTGTAAATGCACAGTGCTCTCAAATACTTCAGATTGATTTTTCTAAAAATTCAGTTTTTAACCTAGATCTGCAATAAAATTCAGAAATTTTTTTCCCATCCCCAGAAATTCAAGATACACACATCCC